ACTATACTACTTGAATACTATCCTCGATCCGCAATATTGTTCATTACCAGTAATTCTTCTACTACCTCCACCACTATGAGATTTGAACTGACAGTTGCGTCTCTGTGTGCTAATGTGGTATGGCATCATGAACTGATGTACTTACGTACGAAGTTGTACGTTGTAATTGACTGACTAACTGAATGACTGACATAATGTTAAACTCTATTAATTTCAACAATTTTATTAGTTATAATGATGCAATTTACAGCATTTTTATACATATATGCAGTGAGGACCTTCGTACTTGTCTCTCTACTAAACCAGTCACACCTGTTAATCAGGAAGAAGTGCCTACGATCAATTTCAAGAACGTATCCTATAATACAATTAAAAGAATTTTAACATTACTCTTGTAAATTATCTCTATAATGCAAAACTTCGAGTTAACAGATCACAGTCAAATTCGGTTCTTTTCAAAAATCCACCGATATTTCTCCCACTTAATATGCATTTTGATCAAAGTCTAACTAATTCATCGCTGAAATACTAATTTTAAGTCGTATCTACTAAAATACACTACTACTTATTTACTCTGAGTAGTTATCAAAGTCAATTTTTGAAAATAATGTTTGTTTATTGACTACACGTCTCGATAATGATTCAGTTTTCTATATTTATAAATAAGAAAGCATTTTAATTGTGAAAAGATGTACTATTGAGAAACTCCAACTGGAGCCTCTCAGGAGTTACTGCCGCTTCCAAGCCTGGATCAAGGAGGAGGGACGGGCATGAATTTAGCGAATCCATCCCACAGAAAACTAACTCGCCTAAAAAACGCTAACCAGAAAAATAATTCCGGACTATATAAACTCTACCCTGAGAATTATAAGATCTTCATACAGAAGAGTTATGATATCTCATGATGTAAGCCAAGTTCTTTCGGACGTCACGAGGCTGGTCCCTCTTTCGACCACTAGATCAATCATTCTTTTAGGTACATGGAATGTTCGAACAATGTGAGAGACCGGAACCCAACTGCGTTACAAGACAAACCCTCATTCAAAACTCTCAAGGTCAAAGGAAACAAGGAAGGTTAAGGAACACATTACACCGAGAAATTGAGACAGATATGATAAGAATGAACAACAGTTTGACAGAATCGAAAAGGGAGGCCTAGGCCAGAATAGGTTTGAGGATGCTGGTCGTTGTCTTATGCGTCACTCGGGGTAACAGATGTAAGAAAACTGATATTCGAACGTTAAACACTTCTAATATACACATACATATAAATGTAGTCTAAATATGCAAGTAAACTCATAACATGAATCATTGACCTACAGGTTGAAACACATGTTAAACATAGTGTATTCTTATTTTGTTTAGCTAAAGTAACATTCATTAGCTATGACATAAATAATATGACTCAAAGTTAAATTCACAAGAACTATTTCATCTTTGACACAGTGAACATTGAACATGATAAATCATTAATTTAATAAAACAACACAATATTGAACAATGTACATTCTAAAAAAAGGCAGTGATTATTTGTTTAAATAATAAATAAACAATAAATCAATATAAGTAAGATGGGAAAATGTTTCTCTCTCACTCTCTCTCTCTCTGTCTCACTGAATAATTATTATCTTCTATCTTGGGTGGTTAATTGAACAGTTTTGATAAATAATTTATTAAGATTAGCAGTGTTTCACAAATTAAATGAAAAGATTTTTCATCAAAAACTCAATAATCATCTTCACAAGTGTATAGTGAAAAATCATTAAAAACTTTGCTCAGTAATGACTAGTTTCATGAGGAATTCCTTGAAGTTCTAATAAGAAATTGTGACCAGTGTAGTTTAATCCTGTCGGTTGTAGGTAGTTACTTATCGAAGAAAAATGGGTGTGTATAGGACACACAATGAGGTACGCACTTAACTGCTTCACAAGACGAGCCCTCACTTAGAATCCTGAAAGGCCAAACGAGAAGAGGAGGATCAAACAATACAGTAATCAAGAACTGGAGACAGTAATGAAAAGAATGAATAGCAGTTGGGTGGAACTGGAAAAGAAGACACACGACAGAGTAGATTAGAGAACGTTGGTCAGTTGGCTGTACTCCGTTGGGAGTAACAGGCGTAAGTTAGTAAGTAATCAGAAAGCTATGTAGAAGATATAATATAAATACAATATAAATATTTTAATTCAATATAGTATGATGAAGCGAGATTCTCCGATGCAACACAACATGCACCAATCAAGTCACGCTTGAAACAAATTCCACTTTGAAGGACGTAAAAGACTTTACATATATGGGCAGCCTCGTTAATGAACAAGGTGGATCTGATGCAGATGTCAAGACGCAGATCATCAAAGCAAGGACAGCATTTCTACAACTGAAGAACATCTGGAACCTAAAACAAATTTCAACTAACACCAAAATCAGAAGTTTCGACACAAATGTTGACACAGTTCTACTGTAAGATGCAGAAATTAATAAAACCACCAAAGCCACCATTCAGAAGATACAAGAGTTTATTAACAATTGTCTAAGCAAAATACTTCGGGTCAGTTGGCCAGACACCATCAGCAACAAACCAGATTCCAGTGGAGTAAAATATCCTGAAGAAACACCGGAGATGGATAGGACACCACACACTGCGGAAAGCACCCAAATGAATCAAAAGACAAACCCTCACTTGAAACTCTCAAAGTCAAAGGAAACGAGCAAGGCCAAGGAACATATTACACCGAGAATCGGCGACAAACATGAGAAGAATGAACACAAATGAGAAATAACTAGAAAAGGAGACCGATGACGGAGTAAACTGAAGAATGCTAGTAGACGGCCTGTGCTCCATTAGGGGTAACAGGTGTAAGTAAATAACTATGTATAATGAGTACATATCACAGGATATTACCTCAAATGAGTTATATTTTTATGAGAAAATCATAATAATAAACAAACAATTAAACTTATTCAGTATAATATAACATTGAACGATCAATAAAACTGAATTTTGACATGTTTTATTCGATAAATATATATATTTTCAGGCAAAGTTTTGGGGGTTTGTGTTTTTACACATTTGAAATCATCAATGAATCATTATTAAACCACCATTAGAAACCTGGAAGCACTGGACGGCTGTTTCGTCCGAGTATAGGACTCAGTGGTCCGATGGTTAGGCGTTCGCACTCCTGCGGGGTGCAGGAGTCGTGGATGCGCATTGCTGATGAATCCCATACGAGGATGAAAGGGCCGTTCAGTGCTTCTAGGTTTTTGATGGTGGTCTGACAATGATTGATTGATTATTTCAAATGTGTAAAAATATATCTATGTTTAACAGGTGATTTAATTTCATGAATCAATATGAGTATATTCATGTTTTTATAAAATTCATTGACATGAAAACTAGCAGAGCTTATCTTTATGAATAGATTTTAGTATATGAATAAACTAGTTTATTTTATTCTTAATGAAAAGTTCAAAAATCAAGTAAACAGAAACTCTGTTTATGACAACAAATTCATCGAACAGACTACTTAATCAATGTTACTAGTTGTAATAATATAAATTTAAGTAGTAAGTTAAAATGTGAGCTGAACTCTAAGAAATTGAAAATCGTCACTAAAAAAATAAGTTTTATCCTAGTTGACGATATACACAATGTTAAGTTTAATAACTTCCAGACATTGAATAAGCACTAAATAAACTATTTATTGGGTTGAGGAGGAAGATCAATAGATGTAGTAGGTAATTATCATCAGTTGAGTTGGTTAGGGTATGTTTTACATATGGCTAATCACCGACTACTTCGACAAGCGATGTTGTCTGATGTACAGGTGAGCTGGAAGCAAAATATGACTTAAATCCATGAAGTGTTTGACCATTGAACTGAGACACCTTAGTAGATGTAGACTACGTAGTTTAGCTCAATGAATTACATTTCTTTATCAATATTTTTTGGACGCCTATTTTTCTGATGACTGCTCACATACTCTTACGACACCTACTACAATGAGATTTGAATTCACCTTTCGATCTCTTTGTACTAATGTAGTGTGGCAACTTGAACTGATGTAATATACGTTTGCTATAGTGCAGGTATATCCATTGTTTGTATTCTCTGAAATTGTAATCTTCTAATTTCCTCGTCACCTTTATCTTTAACTTCTCAAATTTATCTCACTGGACAATATTTCGTTTTGTGGTGTAGGAGTAGGTTGGAAGAAAGATAGGCGAGGTCAAACCAAAACATGACACAAATCCAAGAAGTCACTGACAAGTGAACTGAGTCATGTTGGTAGATGTAGGTTACCTCGTTGGCGTCCGCGAGACGATAGTCACCAATGGTTAGAGACTTTGAATAACATGGCTCAAAATCGTTTTCACTGGCACAGGTGCATTGATTCTCTGTGTTCTCTCAAATCCTATTCTTCTGAATTCCTTATCACTTTTATCTTTCCCCTTTTTAAATTTATCTCACTGAATTATACTTATCGATTCATATCTTCGAACCCTGATATTCTCCATTACCACTAACATTTGTACTACCTCGACTACAATGGAATTTAAATTGAAAATTCAATCTCTCTGTGTTCGTGTAGTATGACAACTTAAAACAAAGTACATGCGTACTGAGTTCGATGTCGTAGCCTACTAACTGCATAAAACTTTAACCTTCCAATTAGCTTCAAATAGCTTGAAACCTTGAACATCTCTAAGACAAATACAAATCTTTGATAAATAAATAATCTTATTGTTAAATTACACATTTTTAAAACCATAAAATCGATCAATCATTATTAGACCACCATTAAAAACCTGGAAGCGCTACTGGATGGCCGTTTCATCCTGGATAGATATGAATGACTCATCATCATTGTTAAATGTGTGTTTTTATTCGTTTATATTTTCGATTCCTGTATTGTTGAAACAAACTCAATTATCGATCATTATCGATCGATTTAAACATGTTCAACATGAAAAAAAAATTTTAAAAAAAATATTGATTTTTACTCAAACTTACCAATCGGTACAAACATTGATCTTGATAAAAATGGAAATGATAAAAAAAATATTGTTCGTTCTACATCAACATTATAAATTTGTTGATAGAATGATTGCATACATACGGAAGAAATTTGAAATGTCCAATCATCTGCAGCATATGTAAATAAAATTGCATATACTGAACGTGATGTGAAAATTTTTTGCCATGGTATTTGTGTATACTGATCATTGTATAATATACGATTTGATATAGTTGCTTTTAAATAGTTCAATTCACGTTTACTTAATTTTTTATCTTTATTCGGTTTTTCATCAATTAATCTCCACCAAAATATACACCAAATTAAACCTAAATTAGCATAAATATAAAATACAACACCCCAACCCCATTTTTTCTCAATTTCAGCACATACAGGTAAACCAATTAATGGACCTAATGAGACACCGATTACAGCTAAACACACCAAAGTGGAACGTTCATTTTCTGGACTCCAAAAACGTAGTACACCAAATACAGCTGGAATAAGACAACCTTCAGCTAATCCTTGTATTAATCGTAATAATATAATCATGATCAGTTTAGCATTCATATTATTGCCAATTGTCTCGACTAATGGTAAAAATAAATTCATACCACATGTGATTGCAACTGAACTACCCAGTAAAAATGATGAATCATAATTGACAGTTAAATAACCACCGATTGGACTTGTAATTAAATAAGCAAAAAATACAGAATTTTCAACAAGATCATTTTTAATTGTTTCAGTCCATGGCATTTTACGATGTTCAGATGGTTTAAATATTAACGATGTAGTAGGACGTGTATGTTCCAACATGGAACGACGTGAATCCGTGTGTAGCTCTTCCTCGTTGTCTTCAATATTCTCTTCATTCAATGGGATTGATCTGTTTGTTGAATCAACAAGTTGTGATTGAGTTAGTACATTGTAATGATTATTAAAATGTACTGGATCAGTTTGATATTTATTCAGCGAATATTTAAAACTAAGTGTTATACGTGAATGTGTATTATTTAGATTGGTAATAATTCCTAACATCTCCGAACGCATACCAATAACAATTGTCAAACAGGTACAACATAAAAATGCAATTAAATAACGTTTACGTCCTGGACCACAAAATAATGTACTATTCAGTGGTTCATGTTTTTTGCTCAAATAATGTTTATGATAATTTAAATCCCATTGATCAGTATTCGGTGAAATAGTAGTAGTAGTTAATAGCTGTCCATTTGTTTGTAAAATATCATTTGTATTATATAAATCTGTAGTAATAATATTTGGAATTTTAGCATAATGTAAATGTTTTTCATTAGAATAAGTTGTCAATAAAGGATTCTTATTAAGATTAGCAATTTCTGTAGCTGTTAGATTTTTCAATTGTGGTAAACCAGTAATAGATGGTGCTCTCATTGAATCCGGTGATCGAGATGATGAGGATGATGACGGTGATGACGGTGATGAAGGTGGTGGAGAGGAGCAGGAATGTGATGATATCATATGGCTAGTAGGACTATGCAGCGCATTAACTGAAGTGATCTCGTTACCGTACGAATTCATTGTCGACTATCGGTGTGAATAAATCAATATTTGATATTCCGTAATGAGAGTTGAACACATTTTGAATAAAATTGTCATAGTTTCATTCTAATCCACTTGTCCTCAAAACTTGTTATCGACATATAGGTTAGGATATATACATATATATACTACTATTAAAAATTTTTTAAATCGTAACGGTTTATATGAAATATTGATATAATGAATCTCTCTTTGTATGTGTGAATTTCAATGTTCGATCATTAATGTAAGATGAATAAGGCGATCTATGTCCATTTTACTGGTTATATTGAATATAAACATATTAGATTGATATTAAGTAGTATGAAATAGTAATTAGTATGAGAATGTGATTGGGCAATCTAATATATAACTTATAAGTTAACGACTCCTCAAAATAATAATCCGCGTATACACACATTTTTCATTTTTGAGGCAATTATTGTGAACAGACACATTATCCTGTCTGTCAGCCTGTCTATTCATCTATCTATCTGTCTGTTTGTCTATCTATCTGCCTATTAATTTGTTTTGTGAGTGAGTTCAATAAAAATTTTATTTCTGCGTTGATTTGTATGTAATTCTGTAAGATTTTGACAAAAAAAAAATTGTTCACATTCACCACAGAACAAGGATTTGTAGAGAAAAAAAAATTCTGAAGGTCATGACCATTATTTTATTTTTTTTGTTAAAATGAAAATGAAATAAAAATCGACAAGTGATTAGAACTAGATTTGGTTATGACAGATTTTACACAATAAATAATAATAATATTGATCATTGAACGAGTTGAATGAAATAAAAAAAACACTGAACTTTGAATGACAATTAAATTAGTGGTTGATTTCAAATAAATCGATTGTTAATTTCTTTGATTATTCAATTTTCAGTTGAAATAACAGAAAAAAAATAATATGACAGTTTATTGAATTTCTGAATGTTAGATAAAATGTCTACCAAGAAATAGAATATTTCCGTTTATTTACAAAATAATATTGACACTATGAATTGATCATTCTTAGAACATTTATTGAAAACCTGGAAGCACTGGACGGTCGTTTCGTCCGTCATAGTCGGGCAATGCACATCCACGGCCCTTGCGTGCGAACGCCTAACCTTTAGATGACTTAGCCGGCCATTATTCAACGGTGTTATTGTCTAACTTTGATAAATTCAAGGTTCTGAGAAACCTTGCTTATTGTCTTCATTAGGTAACTGCCTACATTCGACAGGGTTGAACTCCTTTGAATAAGGTTTCTTACCAGAACTCCGAGAATTCCCTCACGAAGTTTGTCACTAATAAAGACATTTTTTAATGACTTTTCTTCATAGAGTTACAGAGATTATTGAGTTTCACTGAAATCATAAATCGACTATACTAGAGAGAAATGGTCATCCAGTGCTTCCAGTTTACTAATGTTGGTCTAACAATGATCGATTGAGAATTCCAATGAAGCTAGATAAAATCATTACCGAGATCATGAATTAGTCATGTTCAGACAATTAGTGAAAGGCTGGAAGCACTAAATGTCTGTTTCGTCCTAGTCTTAGGATTCATCAGCAGTGTACTTCCATTATCCCTCCTCATAGGAGTCCAGATTCCAGATGGTGGTCTATCGATGGTCGATTCATAATTTCAACGAAACTCAACAATCTTTACAGTTCTATAAATAAAAATTTTTATTACCATGATTTCTAAAGACTACTTACTTAACATATTACTTAAGACTAAAATTTTTATCTTTAATTAATTCGAGCCAAAATCAGATACAGCTACTTTTTAAGTTACTTTTAAGACAGAAGAATATGAAAATATTGATCAGTTTGATTCGTTGTCGAGATTCTTTTCATCTCTTCTATGTAGATTGACTGATAACTTGACTTAGAAGCGCAGTGTATAATATTACTTACTTACTTACTTTCGCCTGTTACCCCTAATGGAACATAGGCTGCCCACCAGTTTTCTCAAACTAACTCTGTCCTAGGCCTCCCTTTCCAGTTCTGTCTGTTTGTTCATTCTTTTCATATCTTTCTCTAATTCTCGGCGTAATGTGTTCCTTGACCTTCCTCTTTTCCTTTTGCCTTGAGCGTTCCATGTGAGGGCTTGTCTTGTGTATAATATACTGAGCATTTAAAAACGATAGATAATCCGTTCTAATTCTAACGTAAATAATATCTGAGCACAGAATTAGATGTATCTAAGTGATATGTAACTCCGCCAGTAGAACCTTCGGGGCTACTGCCGTACCCAAGCCCGGGTAAAGGAGGAGGGTTGGACATGGGGTTGGCGACCCCATTCCGTCAAAAACTAACTTGCCAAAAAAACGCTAACCAGAAAAAATAATTCAAAAAAAGTAAGTGATATGTCTTGAATAGGATGAGATGCATATCTTGGATCCTAGTATCAATCATGGTCTATCTTCCTTGAGCCATCACGTCATAGATGAATATATATTAGCAGAAGACATTCAACTGTAGTCTTCAATATTAACAAATCAAATTTTATTCTGTTATTCAGGTTAATATTAAGATTATTCTATATCATTTCAAACTAAGCTATGTTGTATTTATTGTACGCTGCGTTTAATATCCAGCCGTTTATACGATATACTATTATAGACGTTAGCATCAACAACTCACTGCATCTTTTGGTATTTTAATTGTAAATATGAAATTGTATGAAGTAGTTTAACTCAATCAACTTCACTCAGAGCCCTTCCAAGGTTACTGTCCATCCCAAGTCTGGTTGAAGGAGAAGCGTTGGGCATGAGGTTAGGAACCTCATCTCGTAGATATCCAACTCGCCAAAAAAAGGCGAACCAGAAACTAATTCTCTGGTTGACGGCCTACGCTCCAGAATGAGTGACAGGCGTAATTAAGTGTTGGGGACCTTAGATCCCCAGAATTCACTTGATAAATGTCTTAATTTTGGATTTTATTCATGGGCTGGTCACAGTTGATTTTGAGATCACATTTCACACCAGTAAAATCCTTGGCTGTGATTGGTTACTGTCTCATTTTAGTGTGCTGTTTTTGTGACTCTCCCAAGCACGTTTCAATGATGTATAAATAAACGAGAGTTGTATGCTTGATTGTATGGTGTGATTGCTGGATGTTTGTAAAATATACTTTCTACGCTTTATCAAGACTTTTTCATTAGTTCCTTTGACTCAACGGATCAGATTAGCCTACCATGTCACTGGTTCATTGTCTCATTCCTGTTTATCGACTAATTTGAACCCGTAATAGTTCAAGTATATCAAGTGACGAGCAACATAAGTCAGTAAGTAATAGGAGTTACAGGTGTAATTAAGTGTTGGGGACGTTAGATCCCCGGAACTCGTTTGATAAATGTCTTCATTTTAGATTTTATTCATGGGCTTATCAGTTGACCTTGAGGCTTCATTTCCCACCAGGAAGATCCTTGGTTGTGATTGGTTACTGTCTCATTTTAGTGTGCTGTTTTTGTGACTCTCCCAAGCACGTTTCAATGATGTATAAATAAACGAGAGTTGTATGCTTGATTGTATGGTGTGATTGCTGGATGTTTGTAAAATATACTTTCTACGCTATATCAAGACTTTTTCATTAGTTCCTTTGACTCAACCGATTAGACTAGCCTACCATGTCACTGGTTCATTGTCTCATTCCTGTTTATCGACTAATTTGAACCCGTAATAGTTCAAGTATATCAAGTGACGAGCAACATAAGTCAGTAAGTAATGTAACTCATTTAATCATCAATAATAGATACATATAATTATGGAATATGTTTTCGAAACAGACAGACTATAACCAGGAGTTATGAAAAATCGAGGTTATATTTCTATTCAATTCATTATAGAGTTATTGTGGATTGTTGCTTTACAGTGAAACGATTAATCGACCATTGTTAGATCATTATTAGAAACCTGGGATTCACCAGCAATGCACATTCAAAACTATCGTGTACAAATGCTTAACCTCTAGACCATCAAGGTGGCATCCAACAATATTAAACTCTAACATTAATCAATTTTAAGGTATAGCGCAACCTCAACCATTGTCTTCAATAGTTATTGCCTACACTGAGCAGGGTCACAAAGTCTAAGTAGAACTCCAAAAATTTCTTCAAGAAACTAGCCACTAGTCAGCAGGTTGTTTCTATGAAAGGTTGCAAAATGTGTTCAATCGTTAACTTGGATCTACACTGAAAATGCTGTGCTTCATGTCAGCAATTACTTATGTACTACTGAAGTAGTACGTGATTTATCTGAAAAAAAATTGATTTTACTAAAGTTTGATGTTAAACTATGCTTTATTAGTGACATTTGTAATAATGACACTTAATTAGTGATAGATCGACAGTCAAAGATCTATATTTTGTAAAATCTTGTTCAGATTACAAAAAGTTTACATTCAGTATGAATAAAATCGACAAATATTTGATGGATTGAAAATCAATCCAGTCAATAAAATTTCTCACTTTAAAATATTCCTAATGAGTTATTTAATTACGTAAGTGGTCTGCTTGAATACAAGGGCGGATTTTTTGCCGAACATTAAAGTATGTCAACAAGATTACGACCTATTGCTTCACAAAGTTTTATAAAAAGTACAGTCCAAAGCATCACGGTGACTAGCAATCAATATGTATTGAGAAGGAAACGTGTTGATGGTTTTCCATGTTTAGAATTCTGTATTCTACTAAATACTGAATAATGAGCAAAGCCATTATGATTGTGATTATTATTATTAGTAGTAGTGGTACCAGAAGTAGTAGCAGCAGTGTGAGTAGTAGTGTAGTGACGGAGAACACAGGTGAGGGCAACCGAATTGTATTTAACGAAAATTACAGAGTTACTCAGTAAAATCGGAAAACCATATCGCAAATGGTTAATTTGCAAGTCTTCAATCCAATTCATCAATCCATTGTCTGACATTTCACTTACTATTCATGCGTTTCATACAAATTCCGTTGTGTTCCCAACTCTTCTTTTCTTGATCTTCCCCCATCTTCTGCTGCCAGACATTACATTGACACTCACGTCTTATACTGCTTTTAAGTAGCACGCACCACAGAAGTGTTAGTGGTAGTAGTGTAGTGAATGAGAACACAGGTG